GACTTTGTCATCTGTCCCCCAGCACCACCAGTTCCTGCCTGCTTCCAGGCAGGCATCAACCACATCTACAGCCCCCAGCACGATGCGCCATCCCCTCCAGCCTTTCTGCTGCTGCCAGAGGAGCAGGAGGCTGTGGAGGCAGAGGAGAGGCCTATGGTGGGCGGTCTCCTGCTGGAGGTCTGGGCAGCCCTGTTCAGGCAGCACCGGGAGATGCTCGACCCTGTGCTGCCATGGCTGCGCCAGGAGCTGCGAGCCGTCTTTGGGGCACAGTGGTGGGAGGCAATGGCGGCAGAGAGCCTCATCCTGAACGCCCTGTGTCACATCGGGCTGGACAGCGAGGCCCTGATCCAGCTGCTGCGGCCTGCCCTGGGGGACCGAGCGGAGACGCTCATCCGGGGCCTTGTGGACGCCCTCGTGAGCCGGTGGGGCGAGGAGGCCCACAGGCAGAGGGGCCTCCAGGGCTTCCACGTCTCCGGAGGGCAGGAGGAGGGCCCTGCGGCCAGGGGGCAGGAGGACAGCGCCATGGCCGCCCCTGGCCCCGCAGCCTTCCAGCAGGGACCGTAACATCAAGGCCTGCACCCAATGACAGCACCAAAACTGCCAACAGCAAGGAGCAGCCCAGCACACCAGAGGCTGTCCTCCACGGGGATCCCAGTCACAGCCCTGTTGTATACACGCTCACGGAACATGAGGAGCCCCACGAGGAGACGGCGCAGGCGGCAGCATCAGGCCCCTCTGCCCAGGGCAGCAGCCCCTTCACTCCTGGCCATTCGCCTGTGAGGGCCTGGTGGTCCCATAAGAGGAGGGCAGGCAATGACCTGGACCCACTGCAGCCCTGCAAGAAGCCGTCCACTCAGAAGCACTAGGAGGGATTGCACTTGAATGGTTTGGTTTTGCTTAGGAGAGGCTTAGAATAGATTAATGATGAACACTTTCCTCTATAAGAACAAGGAAAAGGAGATTTTAGAAGCACTTACAAATATACCCATTCTAATTACCACTGTCATTAGATGGGTATATTTAGATTGGGGACTGGATTTTAAGATCTTATATGAAATACTCACACGAAATACGTGTGAACCCTTTCATCCTGAAACCCTTTCAAAGTGTAATGTGACAGCTTTAAATCAACTACAGTGAATCTTCACATAACAGTTAAAAAAAGAAGCATGCAGATATAAGACAAAATCAACAGACAAAGTAGGCATCAATTCTGGAATTGCATCTGCTAAACAGACATACTCTGGTCTGGAGAGATTTCTAAGAAAAAAAGAGAACAAGGTGGATAAACATCTTCACATAGAAAGGAAAAGAAAATAATAAATGACTGTTGGTCAGACTCTGATGTGCTTACTCATACTTAATTCTATTCTCTCTGTGCAAAGTCAGATTCAACAGCAGTGCTTGCAGAATGTTATTCAGCATGAAAACATCAAAACTGGTTCTGAAAAACAACTATGTGGAAGGTACTCGAATTGCCAGCAAGGAAGCCATACTCTAGCAAGTGCTCAGCATGCTCTTCTCCCATTGACTTCCCCCTGTACACAGGAGCTGGCAACCTAACAGAAGTAGCTGAAACAGGTTCAGGCAATACGTAAGAAAAGATCAGGAAAGTCAAGAAAACGGCTGGAAAACCCGTGAACCTAATTCAGTGTGAATCCTGTGCTGACATGACTGAGGATGGAAAGCAGAGCTCTTCATGCTTCTCTGTACCAAGTGCATGCCAATATAGATTTGTATGTTTGGTTTTGTTTCCAAATAGTTGATATATTTCTATGGAAGTTTGAATAGATAGCCTGCTCATTTCAGGCTCATCTAAAGAAGTAAACTTGATTCACAACTTACATTTCCAAACACAGAAAGAAGCTCTTACCTAGAGCGTTTTTCTCCTTTGGAGGTTGCACTCTACTTTTGCCTAATTTATCTAGAGGCTTCTTCATTGCACTCTTAGAGAATCCTGCACGGAACAGGCACAGCACACTGAGAATTCAGACAGGCAAGAGTTGCGCTGCTGCTCTGTGCATCCCATGCCAGAGTCAGAACAGCAGCTCTGTATTTGGGCAGCCTGCTATGATTACCACTGGCTTACCATACTACACAGAAACATTAACTCTTCCACACAAGCACTTCCCCCAACCATCCAGCTCTCTGGATGGATGAAGCAACTCAGAAATAGTTAGTTTCCCACAATCACTGTGCTCTATCTGATCCTGCAGGCACAAGAATGCAAACTGAATATGGTGCGTTCACCAATTGGAGATCTGGACCTTAAACATTAACCTTTCTCCTTAACAGTCATATCCAATGTAATGCACTATAGGAAACCAAAGCACTGGACCTGATCCTGAAATGTAAATCCATTACTCCTTTCTACCCCCTTTTCCCTCACCACCTTTTTTTTTTTTCAAATGGAACTATTTGTGCAAATAAACATGCTGAGACTGAGCACCCACTGCACTTTCTTTTCCAGCATTCTGAGTGGCTGGCACAGGCTAAGATAAATGAATCTAACTGAGATCAACTACACCATTTCTCTGCTATAGCACCTGAGCCTTTGTGGCCCTGAACTGCTCCAACAATGAAATTCTGCAAACAGCTTTTGAAACATGACTCAAACATCCTGCAGTGTGAACAAACTCTGGTGTGTGACACAACTGGCTTTTTATGTTATTAGCATTATTACTGTTTCCTGCCTTTGGAGAGCTTTGCATCTTTTAAGACATTTCTTTAGCATCTCTGATTGACTTGAATTTTCTTGCATTTTCTACCTTTGAAGCACTCAGAAACAGCAAGAAAAGCTATGTAAACAAAGGGGTTCAAACATGATACGAGCAAATCCATGCAGGAAACTCAAGTTTAATGATTTCACTCTTTCCCTTCTTCCCTTACGGCTCCACACACTGCCCCCGAACTCTCCCCCCCCCTCAGGGGAGATGGATGGGAGGAATGGTATAAATCAATAACCAAAGGCTTCAATTTTACAAACCCTTTATGCCATTAGAGCTCTGAGTCCTCGCTGCACCCGTTACAGCCTCCCCCACTCCAGTACACACAGACATACACACATAACACACATATAAAAGAAATACTCCCAGCTTGGCATTAACAATGTTCATTCAGTGCTCTTTACTTAAAGGAAGAAAACAATTAAGTGAAACCTTGAAGTAATCTCATTCTGCCTATTTAGCCTCTTCATCCCTCAATGTGTGGTTAGTAAGTGTTGCAATCAGGGGCTAAGGCCTGCTATCATTCGGCCTTAATTAAAAAAGACACAAGCAGTGGAGCTGTGAATTAGAAATGTAACAACGCACTACCCCTGATTAATTCGAGGCTCATGTTGGATTAATAACTCCAAACAAAGAACAAAAGGAAATTGTTATGCGAATTGCAGCCCTCCCAGGCCAGACAAAGGTCAAATCACAGGATTTCAATTTCATCCGGAGTCGCTTAATCAACTCCCTCGGAAGGAAGACCATATGCAGTCCTGAAAGCTACCCATTGTAGTCGTGTTGTCACTGGACCTGAGAGACGGCACAGAGATAATCCCAAGTATTCCTGATCTTTTCTCATTTTTGGCTGCATCTTTTTTTCTTTTCTTTCTCAGTCTCTTTTTTCCTTCTTTTTTTTTTCTTTCTTTTTTTTCTTTTAATATAACAAAACGCCTTCATTAGGGCTAATGATTAAAGAATGAGGATGCTATCTGCCAAAAAAGCTGTTTTGTTGACTGCTGCACCAAGGAAGCACCCTGGCTCCTGCTGCCCATGCAGCTGCAGAAGCAGCTCCCCATTTCCAGGGTGGGTCTTCTCCGACAGCAGAATCCATGTAGTGCTATGTTTAAGCATCATGCACTTACAAGAAGCAGCACTTGAGAAAGGCAGGGGCAGAACAGGACACATTCTGTACACATTCACTGCACAGCCCACACCTCAATACAAAGTTCCTGAGGGTATGTCAACTGAGGAAGAATATTGCTGCCCTGAAGACCTACCTCTGAAACTGAGCTGCAGAGAATACAAGCACACACTGTGTTGTTCACTCCTGACAAAATATGATTGGAGAAAAGGAGCCGTCAGTTTTAATGATCCAAAATATACTGTCCCTCCAGTGAGTATGTACTGAGTTTATCCCTCACTCCCACTGAACATGACTTCTCAAGTAACCAGCATGGCAGGGCTTTTTACATGGACTCCACAGTTCTTAACTCTGTAAAGGAACAAGGAAAGCCCAGATCTGCCTAGGAATCCGGCAGCTCATACCCAAGAGCAAATACAAAAGCTTCAAGAGACTGAAAAAGAGCAAGGAAGAAGCTTCAGTGTAAGAACCTTAAACATGGAGTTAATCGCAGCCCTCATTTCCTTCCTGAAGGCTTCTTCTCATCAGCCCAGAAAAATCATTTTGCCACACAGCTGTCTGCAGCTGACCCAGCCCGGATGGTGTGAGCAGTCTCTCACTTGGTCAAATCTCTCACGATATTTCAAGGCTTTGTTTTGTTTTTGTTGGCTTTTTTATTTATATATATATATATATATATATATATATATATATATATTTGCATAACAGCAACACAGTTCAGGACCAAATTTATTTTCTCCAGGAAAAGAACCAACAATAGTTACCATCTCCATGTAGACCTCTTGTTCAGCTCATTTTTCTCCTGGAATGGAATTTCTCTTACATGGAAATGACATTTCAGACACCGTTTTTCTCTTGGACATGTCCTTGGACATGTTTCAGATTCAACGCGAGTCAATTCAAAATCTTAAATTCTGGTCACAGATATTTATTCCATATTTACTATTGCAGGATTGCTGACAAACGCACCACGGCTCTGTGACCTGATTTGGCTGACAGAGATACCTAAAGGTCTATCAAAACTACAAAAAAGACTGGTATTGGTAACTGGCACCACATTCCCAGTTTCAAAACATGAAACTCTTGATGAATTCACACATTCCAATGCCTTGGGAAATGCAAGCCCACACTCTGTGGAAGTTTCTTACCTGTATTAGGTGCTGGAATAAAATTCCAGATCACTTGATGAACTTAAATGAAGATTCTGTTTTGGCTTTCAGCTTGGGATCATCTCCACTCAATTCTGTCACAAATTGCCTTTGCTCCTCTTTCCAGGGGGCTGCTCACACGACTTCTGCCTCTGAATTAGCTGTTGAAAGGGAAGAAGTGATTTGTGAATTGCCCCAGTTCTAAAGCCCTTTCACACTCAGGAACATATGCCAGTTTTAAATGCCAACCCACTAAATGACTATTCAGCTTCTCTGATGCTTTTCTTTTCAGTATCTGCTCACTTTTGCTTTACATATTGATTTCTTAGCATGCCACCAAAAATTAAGATGAAATGCCTGCTGTCGTGGAATGTGGACTGTCATGGAAAACTCACGTCCTCACAAACACTTTTGCCTGTGTAATATTAAGTCATTAAATCCAAACTACATGGAATGCATATTCTGCTAGATGTAAATTCCTCAACCATTCCACCAGCTCTAAAATACAAGCATGATTTTTGAAATCTCTTAGTATTAGAGGCTCAGCAACAAATGATAGCATTAGCAGCTATTGCAGACACTCGCACTCTATTGTGCAAAAGTAAGTTTGAACTGTGCAAGTCCAAAACTTTAGCAAAATAACTAGCCTGTAAAAGAGGAAAATCTGTGCTTGCATTCAAGAATTGAGAAGGTAATCTTTCCACTATTTCTGTTACAAGAATACAAGTTCAACTGAGCAGTGCTTCATCTCTTTGTCTCCAAAAGAGACATTATGCTCTCAAAGAATTCCTCCTGTATAATAAATTCTGAAGCAGAAGCTGTTATTACTTTCTGATGCAAAACAATAACTCATTGCCCATATGTAAGTGACAGCAGCTTGAGTATAGTCAAAGACTTCATGGTGCTTAATTTCACTGTAAAAATCTTCACTAGGAAGCACTCTTCAGCACCTTCTGGAAAATGGACTGTCCAATACTCATATTCATTCACATTACTGCTTTACGGCAAACAAATCTGGACTTCCACAAAGTCTAAAGGGACTTGCCATGCTGTTTTACAGAGAGCTTCATATTCTTGAGTCAGTTAAACACAGAATCACAGAACTGTCTAGGTTGGAAAAGACTTTCAAGGTTACCAAGTACAACCACCAACCCAAACTGCTGCATCCATCACTAAAACGTGTTCCTCAGTGACACATCCACACATCTCTTCAATACCAGCAGGGATGGGAACCCCATCACTTCTTTAGGCAGCCCATTTCAATGCTTGACCACCCCTTCTGTGAAGATATTCATCCTAACATCTAACCTAAACCTTCCCTTGTGCAACTTGAGACTATTGATATAGAAGACCTTCAACATTTAGTGTGCAAAACAGCAACTTTGAAGCTTTCAGTGTATTGGAGGAAAGACAGGTCATGCACTCATTCTCAATGCACTCTAAATACAGAAAAAGAAAACTGTAACAAATTTTTCTCCAACAGTTAGTAAAAACTTTTGAATATTAGGGTCTAATTTCACAGATCCAACTCTCAGACCTGTGAGATGTACATCACTCTTCTCTATATAAGACATGCACCTCTCACTGACTCAAATCATACTCCTTACCTGCCTTGGACTGCTGTGAATGAATTGTGAATAAAGGTGATACAAATGCTGGTGTGCCAATTAAGATCAGCACAGCTCACTGTGGTGACCAAATATATCCACTGCCACTGGGATATAGAAAAGGTACTTAAGACAGCTTTCTTCTGCCTTCCACAGAAGATGGCAGGTCAGGCAGCAACAGCCATCTTCTCCACCCCAGCCTGAGCACCAGCAGTGAGCCAGCAGCTCCTTCAATTTACATCACATGGAAGTCAGATATTAATATGCTGAGAAAGATGAGGAGGAGTACTGATTTCTCTGGTTGAAGACCAACTAGCCACTACCACCAAGTTTGGCATAGGTGGATTCTGAAATCAAACACTTGCTACTGAGAAGAAAAGTGTCCGAATGAATAACTCTTGGGTGGGGGCAGGTGCAGCCTGAAATCTTCCCCAGACCACTTCCAATAGACTTCCAGTTCCTAACACAACTCCTCTGACCAACTCCAGTACATTTCTAGTTCCCTGAGGCATTTGGGAAGACAAGGTGAGCCCTAGCTGAGCTATGCTTAGAGCCCAGCAGACTGACTTACATTTCTGTACAATACTCCAAAATCACAGATGCTTTAAGAGGCCCTTTCTCTTCCCTCAGCTAACCTGAGAGGTACAAAAGGACATGATTTTTTTAAGTCCCACAGCATCAGCAACATGAAAATGTTTACATCTGCCCTCAGACAATCTGGTGTGCTCTCTTCTTTTCAGTAGCCATCTCAAAGCTGTGTGGCTGTTTCTTTAAGATTTAAAGATTTATCTGATTTTACTTGACATTTTTTTCCAGTCTTTCCCCTTCACTTAGAAGCTGCCTCTTTCTCTCCTCTTCCACTCAAACAACCCACCAGTGAGAAACACTCCTCCCCTGCAGCTCCTACTAAATGTGCAATAGATTTCATATATCTCTAACTCACTGACCCTTCATCTCTTTTCAAATCACAGATAAGAAGCAACATTTTTTTATCTTGCTAACACCTGGAAACCCTGATCGCAATACAATATTTCCTACTTCTGTAGAGCATTCTAAGGGTCTATATGAAAAAAATGTCTCAATGTTCTAAATATTCTAAATATCCAAACTCCAAGGAACAATTAGGACTCCGGTTTTCAATGGACAGTTCTCCAGACCTTAAGCAAGCAGCTGTGTCAAAAAATCAAACTGGATGGGAAATGCAGAGAAAATTGGAAGTGTCAAAGCCATTTGTCTCCCTCCAAGACGCTCAACCCAACCCAACCAACCACAAATACTTCTATTTACCTTACCAAAATGCCACTTAGGCTAGAGACATGAGAACATTGCTAATTACGTTTTACATCTGAACTGCTTCTCAAAAAGCGTTCAACTTCATAAAGTAGTTAAACATACAAAATTAGATACAGTGATATCAATATGAAAATGTACTGTACAAATAGTGCAGGAGAACATCTGTCCATGTGTAATAAAACTGCACAAAAAAACATATCCATTCTAAATACACTGGAAGTTACTTACAGAGAAGCCCAAACGACTGCTAAGATAACGACATGGATTATGTACTGTCATCTCACATGGAAAACCTCCTGTAATATCTGATGTCTTTGGTAGTTAGAGTACTGGCTGGTTTTTTGTTTGTTTGTTTTTTAAAGGAAAGTGATTCGGTTCAGCATGGAAATTTTGTGGCAAAAGCTTAAAAAGTCGAAGTGCAACAAAACAAAACAAAACAAAATCAAGAAAGAACTACTGTTTTGACAAAACTTTCCTGACAGCTCAGATGCAAAGAACAGAAGTCAGAGCAGATAAAAGCTGGGCCTCCGAACTGAGCAGCACAGACATGTAACATGTTTCTACCGTACCACCATTGGCTCCTGGAGTCTTCTGGTCTCCAGAGAATTCTTACAGTTCCCTTGAAACCTACAGTTTTCATTTCAAGATGTAGAAATATTTCATAAAACATTTTGTTTCATTTTAGGCTGGTTTAAATGTAACTACTGGGATTGCCAATTACTGTAATTAGGAAACGTCGTAAAGTTTTTCTTTTACTGTCATTATAAATAACTTTCTTGTAAAAGAATCTATACTACTTTCATAAGGTGATCAGAACTCTTTGTTACAATGATAAGAAATTACACAAGTGAGTAAAGCAAACTAGTGTTTCTTAAGAAGTAAGAGCCTGAAAAAAGGCTCCAGAGCTGGAAACAACGGGATCCTGCATAGCTTTGTGTCACCTTTGCCTTTTTTTTTTGTCTTGTGATATCTGTCTCCTTTGCTTTGATGCATTTGATTGAAAGGTATTGTGTAAGTGACTCACGTTTGCACATCTCAGAAACATCAGCACCAACAAAAGACAAAACATACAATTTGGTATATTCACTTGCTGACTAAACACTTTTTTCTTCTATCTTTCTCTGCTTGCAGGGTAAATTGTTAGTTTCAAAGCTGAGTGACTGCTTCAGTAAGTTGGTAGCAGATTATTGGTACAGTGTGATAATTAAGGGATCTTAGTTCTTAAACAATGCTGATAAAACAGAAATCCCTCTCTCTTTTTTCTGGATTACCTTTAGAACTGAAATCAGAGAACATTAAATGAATAATAATTTGTACCTTCTGTGAATGATAGAAGATTGAATCAAATTTTAACTAGACTCTATTTGTAAATCCCTCAGGATGACATAATTACTATTCAACACATACCTTAATTAGCTGTACACATCTATTTCACAGCATTTAACAGGTTTAAAACAGCTTTTATTGTCTGTTGAATGGATGTTCCTTTCTTACAAAAATGAAAATAATCCTGAATTTCCTAAACTGTAAGAAATTTGGTTACAGAAGGCAAGGAATGAATTGCAAATTGCTGTCAATTGGTTATTTTTATTTTTCTTTAAACAGTATTAGTTGATAATGCACCAACATGCTGCTGCTGCTTTTTTCCATTTAATGAAGAAGATCATAGCTACACTGTCTGGTGAAACAAAATTCTACTCAAACACTCAAACTTCTGCACAGAATTTTGAATACAAGCCAATTTGAGACAGAATTTCTTTTTTCTCTTTCCGTTTTGGATAACAGTATGTTATCACTAGAAAGCAATACAGTGAGTGATCCTACATCATTTCCATTCCCTCGTGAATTGGAAACAGGCTAAAATTTGGCAAGCTGTACTTTCAGATGAAATTGAAGAATTAGCATTCATGATCTCAATTCACATTTTGGGCAAGATTGGGTGATTGTTCAGCATGCAGAGGCTGTTCTTAAAACCAGTGGGCTCCACAGGGCAGCTCAGGTGCTGCAGGCTGCCTTAGCCAAGGCTGAGTGCCCATGCCATGAGCTGAGGCTTACTGCTGAATCTCAAGCACATTTCTGAAAACATTATGCTGCTTAATTTTGCTGACAACAAAGGCAAATGACATCAACAATGATTACGTGCAGAAACACACGTGGTATGTTTTTGTCATTTTCTTAAACTGCCCCAAGTGAGATTAAAACATTTACTTAAGTACTTACTTCATG